GTCTTTTTGAGACAGGGTCTCCCTGTAGCCCCACCTGTCCTGGAACTCACTATGTAGACCAGGCTGGCCTTGAACTCACAAAGATCCACCTTCCTCTGCCTCCCAAGTGCTGGGATTAAAGGTGTGCACCACCACGCCTGGCTATTTTTTTAAATTTTATTTTTTTATTATTTTTATTTTATGTGTATACATGCATTGCCTGCATGTAGGTAAGTGCACCTGTGTTGTGCAATGCCTGAGGAGGTCAGAAGAGGCTGTTGGATTTCTTGGAACTGGAGTTTACGGACAGTTGTTAGCTGCCATGTGGGTGCTGGGATTCGAATCTGGGTCTTCTGCAAAAACAACCAGTGTTCTTAACTGCTGAGCCATCTTTCCAGCCCCTGTGACTATTTATTTTTTATTCTATGTGTATGAGTGTTTTGTTGGCATGCATGTAAGCATACACATGCACGCAATGCATGAGGAGACCAGAAGAGGGCATTGGATCCCCTGGAACTAGAGTTATGGCTAGTGAGCTGCCATGTGGGTGCTGGGAATGGGACCTGGATCCTCTACAAGAGAAACAGTGCTCTTTATTTCTGAGCAGCCTCTCCAGCTCCCAGAGTCTTGATGTAAACAGGAAAATCTGTGAAGGTCAAGATGTATGTGCCCTGGAAAATTGTGGCACATTTGGGAATTCATTTCTTTAAAGCAACTGAACCCATCTGTCATTTCTTTATTTTGGGAGCCGAGGCTTGGGGGAGGGGCTGTTCTTGGTATGCCAAAAGAGGAATAATTTCCTGTGGCTATATAGGTGCCCTGTATCACCAGAGACTGACCTACAAGTGGGGTTATATTATAGCTCTCAAATACAGGTATTACAGAGGATTACAAAGCCTGAACCCCAAGTTTAGGAATGTGATTAACCAGTATGTGGCTTTCCCTTGAGAACTGGGGGTGGGGTTACTGCCAGGCTGCTTATCTGAGCAGAGTGGATGTCATATGTACTTTGTTCTCTTATTAATTAATCAATCAATTAATTAATTAATTAATTTTTAGACAGGGCCTCACTATGCAGCCCTGTCTGTCCTGGAACTCTCTATGGAACCCCAGCTGGCCTTAATCTTAGAGATTTGCCTGTCTCTGTCTCCCTAGTGCTGGAGTTAAAGGCGTGCACCACCACAGCAGGCAGGTCTCTACTGCTTTCTTTCTTTTTTTTTTTTTTTTTTTTTTTGGTCTTTTTGAGACAGGGTCTCCCTGTAGCCCCAGCTGTCCTGGAACTCACTATGTAGACCAGGCTGGCCTCGAACTCACAGAAATCCACCTGCCTCTGCCTCCCAAAAGAACAAAGTGTCCAGGTATAATGGCATATGCCCTTAATCCCAGCACTTGGGAGAGATGACTCAGTGGGTAAAGTGCTTGCCAAGTGAGTGTGAGGACCAGAACTCTGGGTGCAAGTGGGAGACCCTGTGTATAAACTTCCTGATGTAATCCCAGCACTGAGGAGGCTGAGGTAGGATTACTAATTTGAGAGAAACTCATTACTATGTGCAATAAATATATGCTAATAAAAAAATCAAAATAGTAGAGGTGGTGGTGGTGGTCGTGAATGCCATTAACCCCAGCACTCAGGATGCAGAAGCTGGTGGATCTTGTGAGTCTGAGGCCAGCCTGGTGTATATAGTGAGTTCCAAGCCAGCTGGGGCTACAGAGAGACCCTGTCTCAAAAACCAAAATAAGGGCTGGAGAAGTGACTCCGCGATTAAGAGCACTGGCTGCTCTTGCAGATGACCAGGGTTCAGTTCCTAGCACCTACATGGTGGCTAACAACCATTTATAACTCCAGTTCCAGGAGATCCAGTGTACTCTTCTGGACTCCACAGGCATTGCACACATGGGTGCATTTATTATATGCAGCCACATAAAATAAAAAGTAAAAAAAAACAGTAAAAAAACAAACCCCCAAATAAATAATAAAAGAATTTGAGACCAGCCTGGGCTAAATGAGACTCTGTCTCAAAAAAAGCGGGGGGCGTGGGCTTGGTCTGGAGAGAGAAGGAAAGGAAGGGATAAAAGGATCTGGAGATGTATCTAACTTGGGTGAATGCTTATCTAGCATACAGGAAGCCTGGGATTCTATCCCTAGCACATAAACCAAGACCAGTCTTTTTGTAAATACATGAAAGGAAGGGAGGAAGGGAGGGAGGGAGAAAGTAAAGAAGGAAAAACAAACACAGAAAAGACACTTGGTGCTGTGAACTTGAGAGGGGAACTTTCCCACTGGGAAAATGGAAAAACGAGACCAGAAATGTAGGTCTTTATTGTCAGCAGAGCTTGAAAAGGTAGTCCATTTGGAAACCTGGACAAGTATGTTCTCTTTGGGACTAAGGATGGATGCCAAACAAAGAAGACACCTGTCAACCTCTGGCCTCCTTGTGTACCCACATTACAGATGAGCACATGTATGCACTTATACTACCATACATGTAGAAAAAAGATCAGTAAGGAGAGATGGCTCTGCCATTAAGAGCACTAGGTTCTCTTGCAGAGGACCTGGGTTCAGTTCCCGGCATGTATGTTAGTGTATGACATGTGCCTGGAGGCCAGAAAAGGGTGTCAGATCCCCTGGAACTACAGTTACAGGCAGTTGTGAGCCACTATGTGGGTTCTGGGATTAGAACCCAGATCTCTACAGGAGCAGTAAGGACTGTTAACTGCTGAGCCATCTCTCCAGCCCTTGATACTGTTTTTAGAGATAGGGTATTACACTGTACCTCAAGCTGGCCTCCATCTCATTGTGCTAATCCTCCTGCTTCACACATTGAGTTTGAGTTTTTTTAAGGTATTTATTTTTTTATTATGGTATATATTGTATGTGTATGCATGCATGTGCACACATGTGTGTAAGCCAGCACAGCTTTCATGAGTCGGTTCTCTCCTAACACTGTGTGAGGCCTAGGGACTGAACTTAGGTTGTCAGGCTTGGTAACAAGTGCCTTGCCCGCTGAGCTCTTGCTCCTGGAACTCATGGCAATCCACTTGCCTCAGCCTCCTGAGTTCTGGGAATATATACGTCACTTGTTTTTTTTTTTTTTTTTTTTTTTTTGTGAGACAGGGTCTTACTCTGTAGCCCTGGCTGGTCTAGAACTAGCTATGTACACCAGGTTGATCTCAGATTCACAGAGCTTCACCTGCCTCTGCCTCCCAAGTGCTGAGAACTGTCTCATCAGCCCCTGTTTTTTTGGTTTGGTTTGGTTTGGTTGTTTGTTTTTTGGTCTTTACGATTTTTATTTTATGTATCGTCGTGCAATGCCCATGGAGGTCAGAAGGGGGCATTCAGTCCCCTCGAATGGGAGTTAAGGATGGTAGTCACCATGGTGGGTGCTGGGAATTGAACCCAGGTCCTGAATAAACTGCTCCTAACTGAGTGTGTTGTGTGAGGAGCAACTTTTTCTTTGAAAAAGAAAAGAACAAGGGAGTAAACACTATTAATAAGCCTTCATGCTAGGACACAGAGAATGATTTTAAAAATAAACACAACCATTGGATTGGTACTAAAAATATTACATTTCTGAGTTCTAAATGAAAATAATATTGATTAAAGCAAAGGCATCTAATAAATATTTGTTGATTCTTAAACTGAATGACTTGGCCAAATAAAAAATGACAAATGCATCCACATGTAGCCATTTTGTAACAAGTGTAAATTATTCCACTGATCCCTTTAACAAGCAAATATTTCGTCCTTAAGAGAACAGTTTCTTTAACCACTAGCAAAATATTGAATTCAAAATACTAAAAGGCACTAAAATAAATATATACATTGTCGAAATACACGGACATCATAAAAAGTGTGTTGGATGAGCTGTGGAAAAAGTGAGATTATTTTGATTTGATAACGAATAGTAACTTAACCAGAAAGTGAAGCTTTGTAAAGTCACATATGTACTTCTATATATCCATCATATTTGCAAGAAACAGATGATGGTAGTTTTGAAACAAAGGCTTGTGTCAAATTGCATTCCAGTCCTAAAATGTTTGCTTATTTTCCTGTTTTCTTTCTCTGGCAATTTGATTTCCAGAGTCAACCTACAGTAAGAAGTCTATACACCAACAACTTAACAACTTTTAAATCTTTAAGTAAACTTTTAGAAAACTTTTGAGAACATTCTTTACACCAGCGAACATTTTCACAGTTTAAAAAAATGCAAGTTGGCCGGGCGTGGTGGCACATGCCTTTAATCCCAGCACTCGAGGCAGAAGTAGGGAGATCTCTGTGAGTTCAAGGCCAGCCTGGTCTACATAGTGAGTTCCGGGACAGCTGGGGCGCACTTACATTCATGCAGGCAAAAACATTCATACACAAAAATAAAAATAAAATATAACAATATGCTGTGCATGGTGGCACATGCCTTTAATCCCAGTACTCGGGAGGCAGAGGCAGAGGCAGGCGGATCTCTGTGAGTTCAAGGCCAGCCTGGTCTACATAGTGAGTTCCAGGCCAGCTGGGGCTACAGGGAGACCCTGTCTCAAAAAGAACAGAAAAAAAGAAAAAGAAAAAAGAAAAAGGTTTGCTTTTGTTTATGTGTATGTGCATGTGAGTATATGTCCTATGTGTGCAGGTGCCCACAGGGGCCAGAAGAGGGCATCAGATCCCCTGGAGCTGAAGTTATTGGCAGTTGTAAGTTGCCTGATGTGAGTGCTGGGAACTGAACTCAATGGTTCCTCTGGAAGAATAGCTAGCTCTCTTAACCACTGAGCCATCTCCAGCCTCAGATGTGAATGTCTTATGGATTAAATGCAGATGTTAGGTGTTCTATGTGTATCTCCTTCTTGGAAACATGTCTGGTATGTTTCAGGACTTGGTGACCTTCGAGGATGTGACCATGAACTTTACCCAGGAGGAATGGGCTCTGCTGGATCCTTCCCAGAAGGACCTTTACAGAGAAGTTGTTGGGGGAAATCTTGATGAATTTGGCCTCTCTAGGTAAGGATGGCAACCTCTCTTTACTTACTCAATTAGACAACACATGTTCTTTTGGTCATCAATGCTGATCCAGGATTTGAACTATGAAAAAACAATACTTTGTTAAATAAAGAGCAATAAAAGCAGCAATTCATGAATCTAGAATAGATTTATTTATTATTATTATTATTTATTTATTTATTTTTGAGACAAGGTCTCTCTGTAGCTCCAGCTGGTCTGGAACTTGCTTTGTAGATCAGCTCTGTAGAGCAGGCTGGCTTCAAACTTGGAGCTCTATTTGCCTCTGTCTCCTGAGTGCTGGGGTTAAAGTCATGCCCCACCATGGCTGGCTTATTATTTTTTAAAATTCTTTTGATTTTTAAAATTTTATGTGTATGAATGTTTTGCTTGCATATAAGTGCACTTATGTTATGCAATGCCCACAGAGGCTAGAAGAGGGTGTCAGATACCCAGGAACTGAAGTTACAAGTGGTTGTGAGCACCATGTAGGTCCTGGGACTTGAACCAGGGTCCTCCACAAGAGCAGCCAGTGGTCTTAGCCAGTGCTCTTAACTGCTGAGCCCCCTGCATAGCCTGTTTTTTTTTTTTTTTTTTTTTTGGTCTTTTTGAGACGGTCTCCCTGTAGCCCCAGCTGTCCTGGAACTCACTATGTAGACCAGGCTGGCCTTGAACTCACAGAGATCCGCCTGCCTCTGCCTCCTGAGTGCTGGGACTAAAGGTGTGCGCCACCACGCCTGGCTTTCTTTTCTACGCCTGGCTTTCTTTTCTATTTTTAATGGTTGTGTGTGTGTGTGTGTGTGTCTATGTGTGGGTGCCCGAAGTGGCCAGAAGAGATCCCCTGGAACTGGAGTTACAGCTGGTTGTGAGCTGCCTGAAATGGGTGCTGGGAATTGAACTCAGGTCCTCCAAAAGAGCAGTATGCTCTTAACCAACCTGTAAGCCATCTCTCCAGCCCCAAACCTAGAATCTAATACATTTTTTCTAAGTTCTAATAATTTGACTTTTTTCCTTTTGCATTATAGGAGAAAAATGGAACCAGAACATTGAAGATTGGCACAGAAATCAGGGGAGAGTCTTAAGGTAACTTTCAGTGAAAACAGAAAGGAATGTCCCACAAAAGACTTTCAGGGCCTGGGGAGGCAGGTCAGTTGGTAAAGTGCTTGCTGTACAAGTATGAGGACCTGGGATTGAGCCCCAGACCCCACGTGGAAAGCTAGGAAGCTGCTGTGACATGCCCTTGTGATTCTAGTTCTGTGGAGGCAGAGACAAGCAGATCCCTGAGGCTTGTTGTTGAGTTCTGTGTAGACGTGAAAGACTGTCTCAGATGATAAGGTGACAGAGTGATGGAAGAAGACACCCAAAATTGACCTCTGGCCTCCCATGTACACACATGCACACATACACATATCCACACACAGCTCAATACACAGAATTTTAATTTGTCATAAATTTAAAAAATTAGCCCACTCGCTGGGCGTGGTGGCGCACGCCTTTAATCCCAGCACTCGGGAGGCAGAGGCAGGCGGATCTCTGTGAGTTCAAGGCCAGCCTGGTCTACATAGTGAGTTCCAGGACAGCTGGGGCTACAGGGAGACCCTGTCTCAAAAAGACAAAAAAGACAACAACAACAACAACAAAAAGCCCACTCACCTGCAGGTTCATTTATCTAAATTTGTTTCACATTTAATTTTTTTTTGTGTGTGTGTGTGTATGTGTGTGGGCCCTTGTGCACCATGGTTCGTGTATGGAAGTCAGAGGACAACTTTCAAGAGTTGATTCTCCTTGCATTATGTGGTGCAGGGGATCAAACTTAAGTCCTCAGGCTTAGCAGCAGATACCTTTACCAGTACACTGATCCATCTTGTTGCCTTTTTTTGAGACAGGGTCTCACATAGCCTAGGTTATCCTTCAACTCTCTTTATAGACAAAGATGACCTTGAACTTCTTGTCCTCTTGCTTGTACTTCCCTAGTGCTACCATACCTAGCATGAAATTTATTTAGTCAAAGTTTTCAAAAAAAATATTTTCATAAAAAATATTCAAAGCTGGGTGTGGTGGCACACACCTGTAGTCCCAGCACTTGGGAGGCAGAGGCAGGTGGATCTCTGTGAGTTCAGGTCCAACCTGGTCTACATAGTGAGTTCCAGGACAGCTGGGGCTATAGGGAGATCCTGTTTCCAAAAAAAAAGACCAAAAAAAAAAACCTAACCAAACAAACAATAAGTAATTTAAAAAGCACATACCCGTGAGATAGATGTTCAGTGTTTCCAGAATTGGAAACATTTATTAACGACTATAATTATGAATTATCACTGTTCTATTTATGAAATAGCATGCTGTCTGTTAAGCTAATATGAGGTACTTTTTACTGTTTTATTTAATATATGCAGCTAAGCCCCTGTGCAGAGCAGTCTGTTCACATGTTCTTTGTTCATTTTGTAGTACTGGATTGAGCCCTCGGGCCTCGTACTTGCTAGCTAGGGAAATGCTGCACCACTGAGTGATATCCTCAGGTCAGTCTCTATATTCAGACTAGGCAGACAGTTTATGCCCTCCCTGATAGCAGTAGAATGTAAATTTAAAAACCTTTGTATTTGCTTTTGTTTGCTGTTTGAGACAAGGTCTCCCTGTAGGCTGGCCTCAATCTCACAGAGATCTGCCTGCCACTGCTTCCCAAGTGCTGAGATTAAAGGCCTGTGCCACCACTTCCAGTTATTTTTACTTTTTAATAATGTGTGTGTGTTTGTATACGTGCACACGAATACAGGTGCACACAGAGACCGGAGGCATCAGATCCTCTTGAAGCTGGAGTTTTAGGTGGTTGTGAACCTCCTGACCTGGATGCTGGAAACTAAACTTGTGATCTCTGCAAGAGCAGTACAGGATCTTAACCACTGAGCCACTGCCCCCCAATATAAATATAAAATTGATGTGTATCAGTAAGTATGGACTTGTAAATAAGCCATTTACAGTGTGTTCTGATTTTTTTTTTTTTTTTAACAGCAACTATATTGTAGAAAAATGCAGTGACAGCAAAGAAAGTAGCCATTGTGGAGAAATCTTCAGCCAGATTCTTGACTGTGATCTGAACAAGAAAAGTCTCACCAGAGTAAAAACATGTGAATGCTGTGTATGTAGAACAGTCTTCATGCCTCATTCATCCAGTAATCCCATCAGTGCTCACAATGGACAGGAAGTACATGATTATGAATAAGCAATGTGAGAAAACCTTCAGTTACTACTACTCTACAAATTTATGATAGGCCTCACACTGGAGACAAACCCGGTGAGTGTCAGGAACGTGAGGAAGCCTTCCTTTCTTTTATCAGCCTTAGAGATATGTGGTAACCCATGCTGGAGGTGGACCCCATAAATGTAGTGTGTGGTGAAAAGGTTTGCAGTATCCCAGTTCACTTAGAATCCATGAAAGGATTCATTCTGGGGAGAAGCCATATCAGTGTGAACAGTGTGGGAAAGCCTTCAGCTGTGTAGGCTCAGTTCGGAGGCATCAAAGGATGCACACTGGTAAGAAACCCTACCAATGTAAGGTGTGTGGGAAGGCCCTCTGTTCTCTGTCAGGCCTTCAAGGACATATGATAAGGCACACTGGAGGTGGACCTTATAAATGCAAGGAATGTGCAAAAGTCTTTAACTCTCCCAGTGCACTTAGGAAACATGAAAGGAGCCACACAGGAGAGAAGCCTTTCCCATGTAAATACTGTGGGAAAGCCTTCATTTGTTCAACTTCAGTCTGAAAACATGAAAGGACGCACACTGGGGAGAAGCCCTGTGAGTGTAAGGAATGTGGGAAAGTCTTGTCTCTCACTCAGGCCTTCAAGGACACATGATCAGGCACACTGGTGATGGGCCTTATAAATGTAAATTTTGTGGAAAGGCCTTTGGTTCTCCCAGTGCAGTTCTAAGGCATGAAAGTGCTCATGAGTTTCTATGACTAAGGTGTGGGAATGCCTGGACCCCTTGTTCAGTCATTTGAGGACATGTGATCACTCACAGTGGGAAAAAAATCGTACAAAGTATAAGGCAACTGAGAAAACCTTTAAAGATCCTAGTTCAAGTACAGAAAAGAATTACACTGGAGAGGAACCCTGTTTTGGAAATGTGAGGAAACCATAAACTGTCAACGTTTATATGGAATGCATGAAAAGGCTCACACTGGGAAAAAACCTTATGAATAAAAAAGTGAACCCTTATTTTTTTCGTGTGTGTATATGTGTATGGGTAGCCAGAAGATATATAGAAGATGACTTCTCAAGCTAGGCATGGGACAGGCCTGTAATCCTATCACTTTGGAGGTGGAGGCAGGAGGATCAGGAGGTCATGGTGCTCTTTAGCTACTTAGCAAGTTGCCCTAGCATGGGCTATGTGAGATCCTGTCTAAAAGAAAAATTAAAGATGGATGGTTTCTCAAATTAGGGCCCAGGTGACACAGATTATGAGGACTGCTATGGGGAAGGTCTCAGGTGGAATATAAAACTGTGACAGGTAGGGCAGTAAGAGGCCCATGGGAATGACTATTTACAGTTCATTATTGTGGGTGTAGGCCTATGTGCCGTGATTCTAGTATGGAAATCAAAAGACAACTTTGAAGAGCTGGAGAGATGGCTCAGTGGTTAAAAGCAGTTCTTGTAGCAGACCTGGGTCTGACTTCCAGCACCCGCATGGCAGCTCTGGCCTCTTCTAGTATCCCCAGTATACATACATACATACATACATACATGCAGGCAAAACACCTGTAGACATAAAATATAGTCATTAAAAAAAGATAACTTTGACCAGTGGTATACACCTTTAATCCCAGCACTCAGGAGGCAGAGGCAGGTGGATCTCTGTGAGTTCAAGGCCAGTCTGGTCTACATAGTGAGTTCCAGTGAGCTGGGGCTACAGGGAGACCCTGTCTCAAAAAGACAAATAAATTAAATAAATAAATAAATAGATAGATAGATAATAAATAAATAAATAAATAAATAAATAAAATGAGAGGGGACTGGAGCAACTGCAGATAACTACAGCTCCAGGGGATCTGATGCCCTCTTCTGGTCTTTAGAGGCACCTGCATTCACATGCACATACCCACACACAGACCCACTCACATACACATAATCAAAAAGTGGTAAAATAGGGGCTAGAGAGATGGCTCAGTAGTTGAGAGCACTGGCTGCTCTTGTGGAAGACCCAGGCTCCATTCCCAGCACCACATGTGGGTTCACAACCAGCTGTAGTTCCAGTTTCAGGGGCTCCAACACCCTCTTCTGGCCTCTATGGCACCATGCACACATGTGGTGCAGACATATATGCAAGCAAAACACCCATACGTATATAAAATTTTAAATATTTTTTTAAAAATAACAAGAGAACCAGAGTTTGGATGCCCAGAACCACATAAATGTCAGGTGGCCTGATTGCACTGCAAAGAGAGTGTTAACAGAAAGAAAAGCTGTTGTTAGATAAAAGATTAGTAGTTAAAACAACCAAAGTATTTTTTTTCTTCCACCAGTATTGGAGACCAAATCCAGCATGCCAACAAGTGTTCTGCTTTAAAATACACAAATATAGGCTGGAGAGCTGGCTTAGCAGCTAAGAGCATTGACTGTTCTTGCAGAGGACCTGGGTTTGGCTCCTAGCACCCAGATAACAGTTCACAACACTCTGACTCCAGTTCCAGGGAATCTGATGCCCTCTTCTGGCTTCTAGCATTGTACACATGTAGTGCATGTACATACATGCAGACAAGACACTCACACATAAAACAAACAAAAATACCCAAATAATGTTTGAGACAGGGTCTCACCATGTATCCCTGGCTGGCCTGGAACTCTCTATGTAGACCAGGTTAGCCTTGAATTTTCAGAGATCTGCTTGCCTCTGCCTCCTGAGTACTGAGATTAAAGGCTGTGCCACCAGGACGGACACAACTGCCTTTCTTTACCTGCTGAGCCATCTGCCGGGCCCTATTTATTTCATTTTACTTTAACGTGGCCCCTTGCTTTGTTCAAAAAGCCTCTTACTTTATCCAGAAACATTCAGAAGGAGCAGACACCAATCAATGACCAGTCCAGGGTTGCAGAATAAACTCCGGTTAAAAAGCAAAAAAACAAAACCAAAAAACAAAAATCCCCTGCAGGAGACAGACTCCAGGCCCCAGGCTCAGCTGTCTGTGGGACACAGGGGGCGTGTCCATGTGAGCTAGCCAATCGGAGACGCCAGCGGAAACGGTGGGCGGGGCAGGGCTTTGCGCCGCTGCGACAGAGGGCAGGTGGGATTCAGCGCCTGTGCCCGGTCTTTGCCGCCAAGGGCTGGAGGGGCCTCCTGCAACGTTGCAGCCACGGGGTCTTGGGGGAGAAGCTGGGAATGGTAAGTGAGCCGGAGACAGGGAGGGGCAGTTGGAACCAGTCGATTCCCACCCGCAGTGATGGCAAGCCGGCCTCCCTGCTTCGGCTCCTGCGTGGGCGTTGGTTGCTGGCTCCGCCCGCCCGGCCCGGCCCGGCCCGGGTCCGGTCATCTGCAGCCGGCCCCCCTCTGCCCTACGGGGTCCTGTCTAGTTCCTTCACCGGAACTTGGGCTCAGCTGTGGGGTCGGTTTGCTCAAGGAGCTGCGGTGTCAGGGTCCTCAGCCCGTCCACGTTTCCCTCCCACCCGGGACCCGTTTCCCTCCAAGTTCTCCGAATGTAGGGGCAGCAGGGTCCTGTGTCTCTGCTAAGCTCCTCTGCATTCCCAAATGCCACCCTCCCTCTTCCAGTAGACTACGAGTTGTGTTAGCTGTTTGTCAACAGTGGTGTATTTCAACCAGAGAGATTATTTTGTTCGCGATACGGTCTCACTATATAGGTCGGACAGGCTACAAGCTCACAGAGATCCACCTGCCTCCACCTGCCAGAGAGACCTTTCATTATTATTTTAACACAGGTGGTCTATATTTCCTTTTCCTTTTTCAAGATTTAACTTGTGACTTTTTCTTTTTGCATTTATTTATTATTTATTTGTTATGTGGGTGAGTTGGAGTCTTGTCACAACAAGTGTGTGCAGGTCAGAGGATAACTTGCTGGAGTTGGGAGACCTTTCCACCCTGTGGGTTCTGGAGATCGAACTCAGGTTGTCAGACTTTGTGACAGGTGCCCTTAACTTGCTGAGCCATCTCACTGGCCCCAAGATGATTATATATATATATATATATATATATATATATATATATATATATATATATATATATATATATATATATATATATATATATATATATATATATAATTTTTAAGCCGGGCGTGGTGGCACACGCCTTTAGTCCCAGCGCTCGGAAGGCAGAGGCAGGTATCTCTGCGAGTTCAAGGCCAGCCTGGTCTACATAGTAAGTTCCAGGTCAGCTTGGGCTACATGGAGACCCTGTCTCAAAAAGACCAAAAAAAATTATTTTTAATGATGTGTATGTATATAAGTCTGTGTACATGAATGTGTGTGCCCAAGGACGCCAAAGGAGTAGGTCACCTGGAATTGGAGTTAGAGGTGGTGGTGTGCTGCTAGAAACCGAACTTGAGCCGTCTTTCCAGACCCCTCTGTGCTATTTTGTTTGTTTTTTGAGACAGGGTCTCATTATGTAGTCCTGGCTAGCCTGGAACTCCTCTGTAGACTGAATGCTGGGACTAAAGGTGTACACCACCACACCAGCTCTGTTACTGTGTTATGAGAGGAAAGCAAATAGTAAATACTGGAAAGTGTTTTAAATCGTTGTCTCCTGTTGGTATCTTTCCTGGATATGGAGGACATCTATGGTGTGGATTGAATTGACGTTCTTCTTTGCATTCGTGTGTGTGTGTGTGTGTGTGTGTGTGTGTGTGTGTGTAAAAAAAAAGAGAGAGAGAGAGAGAGAGAGAGAGAGAGAGAGAGATATTCTGTCAGTACTTCCTGTCCTTGAATTTATATAACTTATCTGAGATCTAGGGCCAGCCTGGTCTACATAGGGAGTTCCGGGCCTGCTGGGGCTACAGGGAGACCCTATCACAAACAAACAAAAATAAATAACAATAAAAACTAGAAAATAAACTTTGCCGGAAAATGTAAAGTTTTTCCAAAGGTTGATAATGCCTTTCTCTTACTACTCTGAGGGTGACTGTCCCAGCCTTGCCTTTTTGCTCAGTCTTTGCAGGCAAAGCCTGAACTGCACCTGCCTTTTCTTTCAGGGAGCACAGACCTGGCATTGCGCTAAAGACATGTTCCTCAGAGGACATTTCATTCAAGCATATACTACTGAAAAAATACAACTTACAAAAATGCATAGGGACTGGAGAGCTGGCTCAGCGGTTAAGGGCACTGGCTTCTCTTGCAGAGACCTGGGTTTGGTTCCAGTACCAGACGGCGCCTACAACTGTCTATAACTCCAGTTCCAGGGGATCTGATGCCCTCTTGCCTCCAAAGGCATTACACGCACATGGTACAGTTATACAGGCAAGCAAAATACTCATGCACATAAAATAAAAACTAAAAAATTGTTTTCAAAAATTTATTTTTATCATTTTAAATCATGAATGTGTGTGTGTGTGTGTGTGTGTGTGTGTGTGTATGTATATGTGTGTGGTGCTGGAGATTGAACCCATGGCCTATCACATGTTAGGCAAGTGCTTTGTCACTAAATCATATCCTCGGTTCTTTATTTTTAATTTAAAAAATTTTTATTTTTAATTTTATGAGTATGAGTATTACTGCATGCATGTGTGTAAGTGCACTCATGTTATGCAGTACCTGAGGAAGTCAGAAGAGGGTGTCAGAGCTCCTGGAACTGGAGTTACAGATGGTTGTTAGTTGCCATGTGGGTGCTGGGAATCAAACCCGGGTCCTCTGCAAGAGCAGCTGGTGCTCTTAACCTCTGAGCCATCTCTCCAGCCCCCTCCCTTTTTTTTTTTTTTTTAAAGTTTTGAGGCAGGATCTTGATAAGTTACTCAGGCTGATCCTGAGCTATTCATCTTGTTTGCTAAGTACCTGGGATTACACATGTGTGCCACCACTTTTTTTTTTTTTTTTGTGACAGGGTCTCCCTAGAGCCTGCCTCTGCCTCCAGAATCTGGGATTAAAGCCATGTGCTACCACACCAGTCAGAAGGGGGTGTTTTATGTGTGTTGTTTGTGTCTAATGCTTGTATACTGTTGTTCAAGTCTACTGTTGACTAAAACTAACCAGCATAGTCCCATCAAGTTGTCAATAAAGATTAACCATCATATCTTTGTATTCAAGTATTAATGATTTCTTCCATTTCTTTTAAAAATATTTTATATATTTAAAATATTTTTTACATTTTTAATTTTTTGTATTTTTTATGTGTATGCATGTATTGCCTTGCATGTATGTAAGTGCATCTGTGTTGTTCAGTGCCCAAGGAGGACAGAAAAGGGCATTGGATCCCCTGAAACTGGAGTTACGACAGTCGTTAGCTGTCATGTAGGTGCTGGGATATGAACTCAGGTCTTCTGCAAGAACAGCCAGTGTTCTTAACTGCTTGTTACAACTGTTGTTAGCTGCCATGTAGATGCTGGGATTCAAACCCAGGTCTTCTCCAAGAACAGCCAGTGTTCTTAACTGCTTGTTACAACAGTTGTTAGCTGTCATGTAGGTGCTGGGACATGAACTCAGGTCTTCTCCAAGAACAGCCAGTGTTCTTAACTGCTTGTTACAACAGTTGTTAGCTGTCATGTAGGTGCTGGGATATGAACTCAGGTCTTCTGCAAGAACAGCCAGTGTTCTTAATTGCTTGTTACAACAGTTGTTAGCTGCCATGTAGGTGCTGGGATATGAACTCAGATCTTCTCCAAGAACAGCCAGTGTTCTTAACTGCTTGTTACAACAGTTCTTAGCTGCCATGTAGGTGCTGGGATTCGAACCCAGATCTTCTCCAAGAACAGCTAGCGTTCTTAACTGCTGAGCCATCTCTCCAGTCCCTATTTTGTTATTTTTGTGTATTTTATGTGTATGAGTGTTAATGCCTGCATGTATGCACCTGTGTCTTGCAATGCCTATGGAGGTCAGAAGAGGGCCTGGAACTGGAGTAACAGATAATTGTTAGCCACCATGTGGGGTGGGTGCTAGGATTCAAACCTAGATCTTCTGCAAGAAAAGCCAGTGCTCTTAAATGTTGTGCCATCTCTCCAACCCCAATTAAAAAAAAATTTTTTTTTTTCATCTTTTTGAGACTGGGTCTCCCTGTAGCCCCAGCGGTCTGGAACTCACTATGTAGACCACACTGGCCTTGAACTCACAGAGATCCACTTGGCTCTGCCCCTGGAGTGCTGGGATTAAAGGCATGTGCTACCACACCCAGCTTAATTTAAAAAAATTTTGTTTTATGTGTCTGAGTGTTTTGCCTGTGTGTATGTAAGTGCACCACATGCATGCAATACTTGCAGAGGTCAGAAGAGGCCATTGGATCCCCTGGAGCTGGCCTTACAGGCAGTTGTTAGCTACCATGTGAGTTCTGGGAACCAAATCTGGATTCTCTGCAAGAGGGGCCAATGCTTTTAACTACTGAACCATCTCTCCAGCCCAAGAAATAGTTTTTTTTCTATTTTTTTTCTTATACTGTAGGTCTTGTTTTGATAAAAATTTCCCCTCATCCATTGTCTCTTAGGTTGGTTCTTCCAAAATTGACATTTTATAGATATCAGTGAAGAATGAACTTTGTGAGAAAGCATTGCCAAAGATAAACAAGTCTTAGACCCACTACTGCTGTCTTCTGTAGACAGTTCTGTGGACTTGGAGCAAGTGCCACAGGTCTGTGTTCCGTGAATAACCATAGCTGATGTAAGCAGCCCATTTGACTGCCTGGATCACCAACCTGCAGGATATGAAAGTTCTTCTGGTCCTTTATACCAAATAGTTAAACTCTTGACAGGTGGCTGGAGAGATGGCTCAGTGGTTAAGAGCACTGAATGCACTGAGGTGTGGTAGTGCATGCCTTAATTCCAGCAGGGAGGCAGAGGCAGACTGTGAGTTTGAGGCCAGCCTGGTATATATAGTGAGTTCTAGGCCAGCTGGGGCTACAGGGAGACCCTGCCTGAAAAAGACAAAAAACCCCAAAAATACTGAATACTCTTGCAGAGGACCCTGAAGAGCCAGAATGCTCTGACTCCATTTTGGCTAGCTTCTTTAGACAAGCCCAGAAAAGCTCAGGCATAGTGTACATGTAAAAGCCTTATAAGGTATGAACAAAAACTTCTGACTCTAAAAGATACTAGTCAGCCCTGAAGACAGCCCCTATCAATCAAGACTTTCCCCGTGCACAGGATATGGGGACATCCAATTATTTTAAAAAATGCTTGGCGTGCATAGGTTTCTATGAAGTGCCCCAATAAAAGCTCCTGCCTGCTATTGTTC